TAGAACTACTGCTGCCACCTGGAATATGAAATAACAAGATTAATTCCACCACTTTTCACCAGAAAATAGAACTACTGCTGCCACCTGGAACATGAAATAACAAGATTAATTCCACCACTTTTCACCAGAAAATAGAACTACTGCTGCCACCTGGAACATGAAATAACAAGATTAATTCCACCATTTTCACAAGAAAATAAAACTACTGCTGCCACCTGGAATATGAAATACTAAGTTTTCTGCCATCATTTTCAAAAACAAACTGAAAATAGTAAAGTTTAAAGAATGATTTCTTAAATCATCTTTACAATAAAATAACAGAATTACCATCAACACTTTAAAATATATAAAAAAAAAACAATTATGGTACTAGAGGTACCGTTCGTCATGTTTGTGCTTTCTTGAAATTTTCGTCAATTTTATTGATTTCCAAAATAACTTAGCTACTCTTTCTCTCACGTACCTGAGCGGCTCCAGTCCGTGGTGGTTTACCCATGTCTCGTGCTGCTACCTTGACAACGTGAGTTGCAAAACCGTGGGCAGCGTACTTCTCTCTGTCCAGTTCCTTTCGCACTGACAAAACTGCCTTGTAAGATACAAAATCAAGTGTTAGTCAACGTTGTACCACCAACAGTTGCGGTATATTTTCATTTTGTTCGTTTTTTATTGCTGTTAAGGACAACGCTACACAATGGGCTAGCTGTGCTGTGCCCACCAGGAGTAACAAAAGTCATTTTTTTGGCAGTGTGAGCCGACAGACTGAGCCACTGGAGAGCTTGTTTGTTTTCAAACGAAAAGCTAAACAGTGGTATATTTGCGCTGTGCCCACCACGTGTATCGAATCCCTGTTTATGTGTTTTTTAGCCCTCTAGCTTACCACTGAACTGCCAGGGGACGCAATATATTTAGAGTAATAAAACTTTACGGTTTATGCATATTTCAAGTAACTAACGTAAAATACTCGCGGTCCTCTGTGGGGGTTCAAAAACCCCCTCATAATTCTAAAGGCTCCAATGTACCGATCAAGCTCCTAATTTATTTCCAATTACTTCTTTAGCTACCACAAAGGGGGCTTCGACCATATCCGTTAAGACACCTGCCCCTGGTACCTAAAGGCGTAGGTCTAGTTTTGTCCCGTGGGGATATGTACACGGCTTTAAACATGACGCCTATGGGATCCCGAGGGGAGAGGGACAGAAACACAAAAAAAATGATACCAAATTCAGGTTCGGTGACTCTGAAAACCTACTGCTAGACCCTCATCATGCGTGGTTGACCTTCCGGGAGTGTTTTAGCCCAACAGGTAGAGGGATTACGCTACACTTCTTTACATACACCGGGGGGAGGGGCGTATACTCGTTAAGACACTCGCCAGTGGTATCCGAGCACGAGTGTCACGTTTGGTCCCAATAGCTACTGGGGTACGAACACAAATTCAAAGATGGTGCCCCTAGGTTCCCGAAGGAGGCCTGAAACACGAATTCCGATGCCAGATTTGGGATCAACGAACTTGAAAATATACTTTTATCCCCTCCCCTTCCCATCATACCTGGGTGACTTTTGGGGCGCGTTTTATCCCTGTTGGTAGGAGATCAACGCCATACCGATGAGGACTCCCTTCGGGTCGCCCCGAGTCCCCCTGCCAAATTTGGTCCTACTAGCTCCAAAATTGTGGGAGCAGTTCGTGGAGAAACACATCAACAAATATCTTCACACATAACGCGAATTAATTTGAAGTAATAGCATTGTTTATCTGTTCATTGTTTACACTTTGTACGTAACATAGAACTTACCATAACTATCATTATATATGACATTTTTATGAAGTTATGTGGTAGCTTTAGGTCCGATTATTCTTAAATGATGGTTTTATGTCCAATTATTGTTATTGGTAACTTTAACTCAGATTATTGTTTATGGTATTTTAGGTTAGATTATTGTTAAATGGTAACTATAACTTAGATTATTGTTTATGGTGTTTTTAGGTTAGATTATTGTTAAATGGTAACTATAACTTAGATTATTGTTTATGGTGTTTTTAGGTTAGGTTATTGTTAAATGGTAACTATAACTTAGATTATTGTTTATGGTGTTTTTAGGTTAGGTTATTGTTAAATGGTCACTATAACTTAGATTATTGTTTATGGTGATTTTAGGTTAGATTATTATTAAATTGTAACTTTAACATAGATTATTGTTATTGACGTTTTTAGGTTAGATTATTGTTAAATGGTAACTATAACTTAGATTATTGTTTATGGTGATTTTAGGTTAGGTTATTGTTAAATGGTGGTTTTAGATCCGATTATTGTTTTGAAGTTCATCGATACAAAAATCCTATGATGTACATTTGGAACAACTCACAAGATTTTGTTGTTAAGCGAAAAGCCACACACAATGGGCTGTCTACGCTATGCCCACTAAACTTAACAGCTAAAATGTTTCTTTATATGATCAAGAAAACCAATGACAAGTTAACCCGGGATCGAATACTAGTTGCTTCTACGTTCCTTCGTAAGAGAACCAATGACAAGTTAACCCGGGATCGAATACTAGTTGCTTCTACGTTCCTTCGTAAGAAAACCAATGACAAGTTAACCCGGGATCGAATACTAGTTGCTTCTACGTTACTTCGCAAGAAAACCAATGACAAGCTAACCCGGGATCGAATACTAGTTGCTTCTACAAAAAGAGATAGAATATCAGAAGATTCAGGCGATGAGTAATACAACGTCACATTACTACAATGCCCTCACAGCTGAAATGTCGAGAAAGTTCGAGTACTCTAATCACCAGGCCACGTCTGGCCACAAAACGTATAAAAGATTATCATGGCATTATCATTATCTCTTTCAAAATCCCACGTACTTAAACGATTCAATTCGAATATCTCCACCAGAATGCATCTTTTTTTTAGATTAATCAAGCTTTGGCCCCAAAACTGTTTTTACACATACTAATGAAACAGTTAAAGATTTATAAGTTACAAAAACGTAATACGCCGAAAATGAAAGAATACTTTAAGATAAGTTGATAAAATTTAAACTAGTTTTTTTCTTACTCCTCCTTCCTCCACACCCATTCTGAATAATCCATCACGGTTGCCTTCATCGATGAAAACTTCCATCTCTCCGTTCTTGCCATCATCGTTATCTACTACTGGAAGTTGTATTCCTGCTCCCACACTAGCGCTACCTACAAAAACAAATAAAAATAATTTATTTAATATTAATCTTCAAAATAAGATAATTTGCAAACCGTAACAAAAATTGCCCCCCCTGGCACATCCCCCCCCCTGGAAAATGAGAAACATAATTATTTTTTTATTCATTCAGCATATATATATATATTCAATTCACAATTTCACACTATTTTGCCCTCTCCTGGAAAACTATGCCCTTCCCTGGAAACATTTCTGCAGAAGCCCACGTACAAGATTAGAACAAACTAATAAGGGGGAAGGAAAACGTTAACAACTGCTTATAGCAGGTAAGGGTCTCCTAAGATGCACGTGCTTAACATCATTACCAATAGTCCACTTTGACTGCCTCATCAAGGAAGTGAGAAAATCGTTTATATAAGAATAATTATATTAACATAGTTTTTCGTGACTTTTAAAACGTCGATTTTAGTCCCTGATTTTAAAATAAAAAAAAAGTCTTTAACATTTCAAGTTATGGAGGTTTAATAATTAGAAACCATATTATTTGTTGTTGTTGTTCTACCATCTAAATGTGAATCA